GACCTGGTGTTCACGCTGCAGGAGACAAAACTGGAGCCTGCTCAGTGCTCGCCAAAACTGGATATCAAATCTTAACAAGTCCTCTGATTTCACACAGAAGCTTCTCAGTTTTCCTTTTTGTAATTGTGTGGTTTCTGTTTTTATGTCTGTGAAGCCCTTTGTAACCTTGTTTAGAACGTGCTTACTAAAGAAATATTCGTATTAAATCTTGATTTCAAATATAAATGAATCTTATATAATCATATATACATATATATAAAACGGGGAAAAAAATAGGTGAACGTTTTCTATCAAGGGTCTTTACAGTACATAACACAAATTGAGTTCCATGTAGATAATACTTGTGACTTGTCTTTGCACGTCATTTTTCACTGGCAGAACGCAACTTGCTTTTTGGTATAGTTTTATAAAGCTGTATTCCATATTTTAAGTAAATAATAACATAATTTATAAAAAAAAGTATGCACACATCCAGGCAAAATACTGTAAAATAATAAACTGCAGGGTACATAGGAGCTAAATAAAGGGTTAAATGCTTAATAGATCGGATGAAGGCCATTAAGAGGTGGCACCTTTGGCTTTTCAGGCTGTTGAGTTTCTAATAAGAAATCCATTCTGCAGTTACTAATGTCACTAACAAAGGATCTTTGTTGTACCGCTCAAGTGCATCAACTCCACTCCGCGAACCTAAATAGGAGATATTCAGATTGATGTTATGAAGAGGCTGAGATGGTGAGATGCTGGTGAGAGGTCAATTCACTAAAGAGGAATGTGAATTGCTGGCGTATAGAAAGGTCATGGTATGGATATCATGCAAGCTGACAGCGAAGGTCAGTAGTAAAGTATTATGAGGGTTGTCAGGAGACAGAGCTTTTACACCATAAATATGTCAGCTGCCGCCGCCACCACCATCTTCCCTGAGGCGGGACGCAAGTGTCGGAGCAGTTTTGAGGAAACTGATTTAAATTAAAGATGCAGCGCGGTGGAGAAAATGAAGAAAATACTTACACCAAGTTGCTGAGGGAGGCAAGACTTAGTTGCTGCTGTTGTTGTTGCTGTAGCTGCTGATGTTGCTGTTGTTGCTGGGAAACAACCTGCTGCTGTTGCCATGACGACACACTGGTGGGCAGCAACCCGCCAGGTGACGCCAGAGCGTGTAGAGCAGTGATGTCTGCGCTGGTCAGCTGGTACTCTGACAGGGGATACAAAAATAAAAATCACAACAAAGTTCACATCTAATATTTAATTTCTTAGGTTTAAAAATGTGATTTGATTGACTTTTAATGAACTATGGAGGTAAATGAATACATGTAGGACGACAAACACGACTAGACAGCACCAAAATCCCTAAACTCCTACTGTGACAATATCCACATGATATTTTGTTGATGAACAAAATACAAGACTAAAATGTATTTTAAAAAATAAATAAAAAACATTTCCTGTGTCAGGAATATATGTTAACACACAATGAGCCCAGTCAGAAGGATGTAGTCAAACTACTTTACTTAAGTTTAATTAAAAAAGGGCTCTGTAGAAGAATAAAAAGTGACGTTATATTCAGATTTGAAAAGACTTTGACAAAGAACTAAGACTAAATAACAAACTAGCCGACAGAATAGCTACTTCAGCCTGTGGCTTTTCCCCTTAACTAAGAGGATGTTTGAGCTGCTGTGTTCAGTTCACCTGTGTTGTACGCGGTGGGCATGGCGGAGAAGGGCAGACCCTGAGCCAGCAGGCTGGGCGTTGCCACGGAGACCACGGGCGTGCTGAGGTTCTGAGCGGCCTGCACTCCTGCTGCCAGCCGCTGGGCGTTCTGACGGAGGAAGACACCGACTTGTTAGTCACAGCGGAGCAACGTCCTGTGTTGCCTCATGCTGAAAGACTCACTTTAGTAAAGTACATTCTGACATGCTGGGAATGACGATGTGTTTATGGCTTCATAAGTAAATCTCAGCCAGGAGGATTTACTGTCAGCAGGTTCTTCATGTCATGCATCAAAGAAAAGTTTCTTTGTTTGGATTACGCCATAACTCATATAACATTAAGGCAACTTGTTCAACCATCAGATAGAATTATCTAAGAGTTTCTAAGGACTTTTTAAAGTGCGCTGTATGCCTTGATTTAATAGCAACATTTAGAGATGACAGAAAAAAAGAGACACACTAACCATGGAAATTGTGCTTTATAGATAATGTATTGAAATGAAGGCCACGATGTGGGCTACATTTTTGACTTCAGACTTTAAATTAAATACCTAATGCTTCGAAAAATGTCATTTTGTGAAAGTGTCAATCACTACTTACTCACAATAACTTCATTTCTTAATAATTTTTCACAAGAAATGTGTAGGTTTTTCATCAAGTATTGGGACTATATAATACTATTGGCTTCTGCAACAAACAATTTACATGATCAATAATATTCTCATTATTTTAATGATAGATAAAGTCATTGCTTAACCTAAACATTCCAGAAATGCAATTCTTCAATCTGCCATAATCTGCCAAAGTGTACATGCAACATTTTATATTCTACTTTTGAGATTGACAACATTTCAGAATGCATGACACAGTCCCACAGTAAACTATAAAGGTATGCAGAATAAAACAGGAACTGACTGCTATTTTTTAACTACTGTGTGTGACCCAAGTCTTAAACATGGAAACTGAACGAGTAGCACATATCCTGTTTCTCCAGTGGATGTCACTACAGGCCTTTCAGTTTGCTGCCTGGGTGCTTTCTGAACACACCAGCTGCTTGCTTAGTGTTTGAACGTCAAGATTGTACTTGTTGACAAATGCAGCATTTCTCAAACACAGGGGCAACAGATATGCTGCTGCATGTGTGAAACTGCTCACATGAGGTCGTATCATCATGTCAGAAACACATCTCTGAAGTAACCATGACACTCTGGAGTCTGGGTCGAATCAATTATACCACACATGAAAGGAACAAATAAAGATGTGCATACAGGAAAGCAAAAGAGGCCATCATTCTGCTCTGAAATGATTCTTCAGACTACTGAGACCTGGGGGAGGAAGAGGGACAGTGACAT